AATTATAGGTATTAATAAAGCGGGAAAGAAGATACCTGACAGGCAGGTTGTTTATCAATGGAAGTGACCTTTGAAATGAATTAGGCGAGGACGGATTGACGTTATGCATTTTGCATGCATTCCGTTTGATGTGTAGCACTGAAATAATTTGCACGCTCAGTATACAGATGTAAAAAAGTTTTAATAATCCCTCTCACCTGTTGCACAAACACTAGAAGACGTTTTAAGTCGCGAATCCCTAAAAACAAGTATTAAAATTAGGATGTTATAAAAGATGACAGATGGACCAAATTCTATCAAAATCACATTATACAATAAAATAAAGCTTAATGTTTTATTTTGATCTTATTAACGTTAAAATCATTGAAAGAAGTCGTGGCAAGCTTATCTTTTTCTTTTGTCTTCGAGCATTCACTGATTTGGTATGTATAAATTTTTAACTTTTCAATTTTAAAATTAAATTTAATTACAAATTTCTGAAATTAAAAAGCCAATCAAATTTTATGTTTTTTTGCATTATTTTTTATATAGACTGAACTTGGAATTTTTATGACATAAAAAAACGCGCTACTTTCAGAACTTTAATTGGTGATTACAGCCATCAGAAAAATCATGCAAAATAAAATTTCAAAGAGTTAATTTAAGACTACTTGCAACTTTTGATACTTTTTCGATGTGTGTGTCAGTTTTTCTGAAATTTTATTTTCATTTCCCACATATCAAGCCTTTTATAAAGTATCATGGCGTGTGAAAAAATAAAGGAGATAGGGACCGCCAACAACGACATCTTCTTCAGTGTCATTCGAATTAGAATTGACAATGTTACGAATATCATGGGAATCATAACAAGTACCTTCTTATATGTTTTTATGACAAAATATATCCTTATTACAAATGGATCATCGTTCAGTAAATTATTGAATTTCTTGATATGTAACACCCGGCGATGACCTGTCTCGTGCAGAACAATTTGAGATTATTTATTCATATTTTCGCAATTAAATATGATGTAATAAGTTATTAAAGGCCTTATTATTATTAGATATGAGCATAATGGTATCAAATAAAAATATGTATCAAATTTTGATTGGGTTCTTTGATAACTATGATTTTGAAGAGCTGTTAACGAAGATCAATTTCAAACACCTGTGAAGATTTTTATCTTTGATATAAGCAGTAATTATCTGTGATGTAAGGGGTTGATGATCAAATTTTGGTACTTGTTACATGATTTATAAGTTTGATTCATAGATTCAGGGTGGATCTTCATTGAAGCAGGTCATTTTACAACCTCGCTTTGTGCTTTTAAAATAAACATGAATATATCCTGTTTTCTATTCAATGGCTTAAACAATATCAAGTTTATTCCCAGGGAGTTTTCATTTTTCTTCAAATATATTTTACTACGTTTTACAATTTGTATTTGTTAAATAGTTATATATTTGTATATATAGTGTCTCATAAGCCTGTCTAGGCTGGGAATTGTCTTATTTTATTGTTGTGCAATGTATTTTATATAATCTGTATAAAAATCTGTAGACAAGTATGTGACACTTTAATAAAATAAATTATTATTATTATTATTATTTATATTTCTTTTTAGTGACTGGTTTTGTTTTCCATGATTTTTGTCTCTTTTCTGGTTAAAAATAAACTCAATCAATATATATAACTATAGTTTGACTTTTGAATATTTTTGGATATTTTACAATAGACACATGTGGACGCGGATTTGGGGAAAGGAAGCAGGGGATCCGGGCCATCTTATGGAGCTACATATATGTTTATTGCATAGACGTGTATCTAGTCCCTCTTCTAACGTTGTCTTGCCAGCCTCTCTCTTTTCAAATTCCTGGATCAACACCTGATCTGTCTAATACCGTATGTCAATCTTTATATGTCACCAAGTTGAGGTTTTGTGTTGTTTGGTTGATGTCTCGTTGCCGTCATGTTACTCCACATCTTCATTTATTCTGATGTCTCGATTTTGATCGGAGTTTCAAACGAAAAAAACGTATTATAGTCACAATGGATCCTGAAACTCGGATTCTTTCATATTTATTTTTTATGGTTTTTTTTTCGGAAATGATACAATCTTGTCGTGATCTTATGAAATCAAAACATATTGATGTAGTGAAAAACATTAATTGTCATGCCATCCTAGTATATGTAATACCCAAATCAACAATTTAAAGCAATTGAATAGCTCCTGATATGTATTCATAACAGACTCGTTAAAGCTTATCTTCGAAGATATACAGTTGTAAGTGATTACTTATCATAAAATCATACGCCTGCAAAAGTGTTTTGTAACGCTTTGTTTTTTATTGTCGTTTCGTCCTTATTCATTTTTTGTCATGGCAGCGTGATTGTCAGTTTGTTTTCGACTTATGAGTTCAATGAATATCCCTTTGGTATCTTTCGTCTCTCTTTTGAATATTATATGCAGCGTATTAAAATGGCAAAAAGAACTTGATATGGGAAGTAGTGCAAAGTTTTTGCTTTGGAAAGATCGACATCCCTATTCAGATTAAATTGTGAAATTTCTCTATTAAGCAGACTGCGTAAATATTATAAAACGGTTGTCCTATATAATGCTGAAACATCATGACTATTCAAAATCTAAACGATTATTTTTTGTTGTTGTTGTAATCTAATTTTTTGTAATTTAAAAATCAGATAATTTGCACCAAGGAAGACAAAAATGGCGATAAAAGAAATTATGGTCGTTGATAATGCACACCGTTATTCCGAAATAACTTCCGGTGATTCAATCTCCCCGGGTAATTTTGGTCGCAGACTTATTTAGAAAGAAAGACAATCTTCGTATTTCCTTTCTAATGACAATGATATATTAGAAGGGTTTATCGTCGCCCATTTTGATTTTATTAAAATCCACAATGCGAAAAACGAAAGATACAACAGACTAAGAAAAAGATCAATTTCACTGGAAGATAAATGTTTCTCGATAAGGCAGTTTTATTGAATACATATCGAAAATGTAATTACACAATAGCATTATAAGGTATTTAAACTCTTGAATTACCCGTCGCATCTATTCCGGAATATCCTGCATTTATGAAAATTCTTTAATCCTTCCCTGATGTCACTTCCGGCCGTCTGTCAGCTGATTGATAAAACTCGCATCCAATCCATTGACAACATGGCATCGGTTTCAATATGTTTTAATAAATTTACCTTATCTTCTTGTCAGTTTCACCTAAATTGGTATATAATTACTAATAATTATATTGATTTTAACAATAAATGCTTGTCAATTTCATGGTTTTCTCTTCAAACAAATATAATTAATATAGCTAAATGTTTGCTTTGTAAAACCCTTGTGTTACTAACCAGATCTGCAGTTTAGAAAACAAATTATCAAAAATTATCAATATTATTTTCAAAGCATTGTGCAGAAGAAAAATTGATGTATCTGAAAAGATAACTCTTTTTTCATTAGAGCAAAATGCAACCGACCTAATTAGAACCATTGTCTGTTTTGTGGGAAAATGTTGAGTAGAAAACTATCCGAATGTTAATTACAACAATTCCATTCAGTGTTTGTGCACCACATTATTTTCTAATAAGTTGCTGCACGCGCGTTTTGCGATTCTTGTGCATCAGGTTGATCGTGGGAAAACATTTTAAATACAGAAAGATTTATCAATGTGGACAATTGGCTTTGTAGAAATGAAAGCACGCCTCATCTTGACAATAATTCTAAGAAGTTTACACAACATATTATATAAAGGCACTTTTTTGTACGAGTCATTATGATTTTTGTCTTGTGATGAAAGAACTATATCTTAATTTATCACCAGTATATAAGCTCACACATTTTAATAAAGCATAAATTTTGAGTACATTTCAAGCATAGGTGACACATAACATATCGGTATACTTGACTTGCATGTGTTGAAAGTCCGTGATCTGAAGTCCTAGTTCTTTGTAGCAGAAAGTCAACATTGACTTAGAATATTGTTACCGTTTGTCATTTTTGAGACAATTTAAAGTTCATAAGTGTCAGAATTCTCACCATTTCTTTTTTATTAATCCTGCTTGATTTACCTATCATATAAGAAAGATATATTACTAAACAATTCCAAACTCAAAAGGGTTTTTCCAAAATTGCTTTACTTTCAAAATCGTCTTAACTACGCATTTAAAAATACTATTGTAAGTTCAGCACATGATTACGGACAATGTTCATGGATTTACCTTCTCCACTCGTTTCCACACTATGACGGATTCAATTTCAGTTGTCCTAAATTGATCGGCAGGTGTTCTAGAACAATGTAGAGAATATGACAATCGAAATAAAATATTGAAGGTCAATGTAAGAACAAGTTGTCGAATAGCAATCTAGCTCTTAAACGCCGTGAGTCTAAACAAAGTTGCATTGTATCTTTGACCGTTTTACACATGCATGGTCAAACCCTAAATTTCATAAACCGTGTAGTATATTATAAAATTTACTTACTTACACTAAGCAAATGACATAATTGTCAACTTTTCTTACACTTTAGGCAAAGGTAAACTGTCAACTTTACTTACACTATAGGCAAAGGTAAATTGTCAACTTTATTTACACTATAGGCAAAGGACACCATTGTCAAATTTATTTACGCGAGGCAAATGCCATAGTTTTCAACTTTACTTACACTAGACAAAGGTCGCACTCCACATAACTTTATTTACAATAGGCAGAAGCCATAATTCTGTATGTTTCAACAATCGCAGGTCGTAAAAAAATGCGTGTTTGTCTTCCCTATATATGAGGGAAAGCTCATGAAGATGACCATCCGATATTCAAAGTGGGGGCAGAGGGTCAATTTTTTGAAACGTGTTTGCATTTTTTATGTTACGCGTGTTATACTGCCTGAAGTTCATTAGATTTACCGTGTTTTGTGCAAATTGGTGGAAAAGCAACGTGCAAGCCAACTTATTTTGCGGGAAAATAAAGACCACGCTGTTCATAGTATTTGTTTATATTTCAGGAGAACCTGAAGAAAATGTCGAATCCGATATAGAATTAGACTGCAACAGTGAAACCAGTGAACAATTAATGGATCTGACGTCGTCAAAACCTGAACTAACGCTCGCGATGGATAAACCCGAATTTCCAACTGACATTGAAATTAAGCCTGTTCCCGGATCTGGTACTTGTTCGGTTTTTACTAAAATCGTTGTCTCAAGTGGCAGAATATATGGTCCCAAAAAATTCGTGAAGCCAGAGAGCCTTCCAGGGGTAAGTGTGTCTATATTTTTGTTTGTTTGAAATCAGACCAATTGAAGTGATATGGCGTATCCTTGTCTATAGATACATCTGCATGATTTAATGTTGGGCCAACACATAGTTCATGTTATTGGTCTCAGTCATTTACTTTGTGTAAATCTAGTACATCAAACGGAAACATTTTATTATCCATTTGAAGTTTTTAAACCTGTTCACCAGAAAAATAACGAACAATACCTTCTTAATAAAACGAAAAGGATGACACTGAAACTATCAAAAGTAATTCCCATTTGTTGTCTTTATTTGCCACTCTCAACGACCAACAAGAAGATGACTTAAACGTGTTACATAATTAAGACTTCGGTACCCTTACCGAGATGATGAAGACAGATTTACATTAATATATGTTCCTGCAATAATACTCTAAACATAATAGTTTTGCGATTTGAATGCAAAATATTTTTCCCTCCGGGGTTAAAATACACGCATTGAACGAAAAATGCGCCCTTCACACCAGTATTGTTGAATTCACACAAGCATGTCGGGGACTGATTTTATAATTTAATACGGCATATGCAGTATGGATTTTGATCATTGTTGAAGGCCTATAGTTGCTAACATCTACGTCACTTGGGTCTCTGGTGGATATATATATATATATATAGTTGTCTCATTTGCATTCATGTCACATTTTATTTTTTTATAAAATAACCACAGCGCGAAAATGTGCATGTTTATTACATGATATGAAAGAAAACATGTCAGATAAAGTCAAAGCAGGAAGTTTACATTCATATCTATTCCTGCACCGAAGATGGGCGTCGAAAGCACGAAGAAGTGGCAGATTTCATAAATCTGATGGTTCTTAATACATGTTGTACCCTTTGTTTAGACGAAGCGATAGATCACTAAGATTTAAGTATGCACAAAGAATTTATAAAACATTAGTCTCAAGTGGTTGTAAAGTCCAAAACATTTGATTTCGTTTAGATATGACAAACAAGAATTACCTTTTGGTTATCTATTTTATTTGGATTTTTCCGTCTTGAGATCGTTACATGTCTTAATATGCAGGTAGGTAAATAACATAAATTATATTGTTAACATTTTTTACATGATTAAACTCCTACATTTTTTTTCAATTTTACGTAATATTTGTTTAAAATGTGAAAGTAGTGCTACAAATTTTCCTCTTGATACATATCGGAAATTCCAAGACTCGGGTACGCAAGTTTGATGTTTGTATTTTATATTATAAGATCACGTTTTTGTCTAGACTCCCATAATAGAATTTTATCATGATGTTTAAAATTCTTGCATGTGTTTTATTGTCTTGTCTTGTCAGAACTAGGCTTATTTTTACCTTAATTAATCCAGCCATTAGTAGCATTTACCAGTGAATTGTTGGTGTATGAAAAGTGTAACCAAATAAAAATAAGCAGGTGTGGTATAATTATCCACCAAATAAACTGAATGTAAGCAACTATAAGTCAATGTACAACAATGAGCAAATCCCATACCGTATATTTAGCAATGATAAGCCCCGAAATGAAAAAATGTGATACAATTTAAACAGAACTACAACGGCCAGATTTATGTCAAAACAGGTAGCGAAAAATGTATATGACAAACAGCAAGCAACGACAACGTAACCGCTTAATTACTTAGACATACAGAATATGGCGGGATTGAAAATGTTTGTGAACTCTCAACTCATGCCTTTTGCTAGCTGTAAAAAACTCAGTGTAGTTAACGTGTTTGTTATCAGTAGTTTCCTATGTTTTAAGATACAGATTTTTTCTTAAAGGGTATTTGTCGAATTTTCTTTGTCCTGTTTAGTCTTTAATGTGTCACAATTTTGTAATCTATACATTGGTCTAGGTTTGTTATTACTTTAGATAGATACATGTGTATTTTACCGTTTCATTGTCTAGTATACTCGTTGGTTTCGTCAACATCTGTATAGTCTTATAGTTTTACCCTAATTCTGCATGGCCTTAAAGCATCTCTTCTGATTAGTAACTTGACCTAAAAATTAATGCTTTGTATCTGTTTCACTTCTGTATGTATATATACTTTTGTTGCTCTACAGTTTCGTTTTTAGGGTGTGTCTTTGTTCTTTTTGTGTATTCAAAAACACATTTCCTTCTGTACAAACGTATAGGGTCAATATTGTCCTGACACATTGATATATAACCACAGATAAGATATTTTCAATTTAATTCATCCCCAACCAGTTTAAGTATCATGTAATATTTTATAAATGAAGCATGTAATAGGTATTGTAAATTAACATGTGTAGATTTTGCGGAGACACGCATTTCATGACAGTTCTTCTCCGTATCAAGTTTCTGTTATTAGGTACATTGTCACTTTTGGTAACTTTTGGACGGAATAGCCCGTACTGACATTAAGTGCAGGTTATCTATGTTTTAATGGTGAATATGACATGAATTTGTACTATTTTCAAATATCCTAATATAAACTTGTATATAGTGATAACAAATTTTCCTTTACCGTATTAGTTTTTCATATCGACAAAAATCATTAAGACTTACGTAAATATATAAGGTCGATGCATATATGTCTATGTTCCCACACATAAAAAGCTCTTAATTCGTAAAAAGTCTTAACAAATGATGTTTATAAAAAAAACACATCACCAAGTTTACAACCAGACTCTTGTGTTGCACCATGCTTAAAGTTATTTCTTTTGTGATTCTAAATATAGAAATAATTTCGACTTTTCTCAATTTCTGTATTCTCATCTAAATATATACTAAAAGACAAAAGTATGCAGAGCTGTTTTATACACGTAAATTAAAGCCTCGAGCTTTTGTGACAAAACATCTCGATACCAATTTTAATATGTTTTACGTTTTATTTACATATATGTAATATTTGACGTGTAATATCTATGATTTGCTGGTTTCAATCCATTCCATACAAAATAAAAAATTCCCCAATAGCACAGATATGTTTGAATGAAAATGTACACTTCATTTACTTATCATCCCATCTTAAGTTTTACGGACACCATCATGTTTTATTTACCCGCCTTATGGAATATTTGTGTCACATATGACCACGGATATGTTCCTATTGTCGTGTAGCCACAATTCTGTCTTCTTGTCCTCGATTGTAACATTACCAAAGGAGATTTAAAACTGAATGTGTACTTGCCAAGAGCAGCAAATCAGTTGACACACGTGAAGCAGGATCTGATTACCCTTCCAGTTTTGTGTGGGGTTCGTGTTGCTCAGACTTTATATAATAGTTTCTAATTTAGTGTTTTGTACAAACTGGTGTTTGCCTTTCGGCGTTTGTCACGGTGGTGTCGGCTTTTCTTCTATTTTTGATTTCTGATTGTCATTGGTATCTTGTGATTCTTTTATTTTTATCTGCCCAATCATGTTGATGGTTTCCCGACCAAACAAAATACATGTATACCTAGAACATGTAAGTTCCATATGAATAATATACATGGTCTTGTATACTGGACCGATATGCTGCGCCAGAATTAAAACGTGCTACTTCACAAGGTAGTATACAGCGGAGATGGCATTCTACCTAATGATGCATGAAATATTTCCCACTATACTAATCGTAATAATAATCCATCAATACTTGTACCCGGGAACAATTTTAGTGAGAGCCAGTAACTTGTTGCATTTATACTCGTATCGAAATGATTCAAGTTAAGCGCAAAAGAAGCAGAAGAGTTTTAAAGTCTTTGATTTGGGGTCGGGTCAGGAATCGAGATAGGATCTCTTGCAGTCTATTGACGAGCACACTTTCAAGACTAATCGCCAAAACCATTTATGCTCCTATTTTAAACGACTTACAAAAGGGACAGATTTCGATTAAATTGATTTTCATTAAATGTTGTAATCTTTCAGCATTCGGTTACATTGCGCAAATCTACAAAGAATTAATTTATTCAGTTTATAGATAAATAGTTTTTAATTCATTATACAAGTGCATGTGCGTAATTAATACCGTCAGCTTTTTAAAACGACCAGCCTATATTTTGTAGCATTTTATGGTTTTGAGATTTTATATCAAAATAAAGTTAACAGTCTTGATTTATTTTATGTAAATATTTTCATCGGTCCTCAGTAAGCAATAATCGCTCAAGCTGATGTACGTGGCAGTTGTTGTCAATTTCAAAAGGAAAGGAACATTTCGTCGGATGAGTAGATATTTACAGAAGCAATTCTGTATGCGTACCTCGTTTCAATTTTATGATAAAAAACATCAAAATGATATTAAGTACCGTATAAAAGTGTGTCTGAAGAAAGGTTAGATGAGGCATGATAAAGGAATTATTGTCATCATTCAGAAAATAATAATTTTGATGGTGTAAACGGACAACATGTGGAGAGGCCTGATCGATATAAGGGAATATGAAAGGTTGTCCTACAATTAGGAAAAAGGAAATAAAGAATGAAAATAAACTATTTGAAGGGAGAAATAAAATCTGATAATTACATGTACCACTTTTCTACATTTTAGAGGAAGGATTCGAGGGTATGACTGGCCAAAAAGTACACCAAAAATGTTTAAAACGTATTCAATTTCAAGTGGTCCCAGAGATTTATGCTTCAATGGTACGTCCGTATCCGAATGTCCTATAAAATCATTTTCCCTCACACATTTACACATTAACATTTTAATTAAAAGTGGTACAATACCATTTTAGTTTACTATTTATCCAAGAATCGAGGAACTTTCTACATGTATGTGCAATAAATTATCAAATACTTAATTTCGTGTACATGACATACATGTAAGTTATTCTTAAGATAATAAACAACCATTGAAGAACGAAAATTAACGTAAAAAAAATAGTGAAGAAACATTAAAGATCAGAAATGTATTTCCATAAAAAATATCAAATCTTGGACCCCGGCATAAACTGGGTCTAGGTAATGGCTTAAAAGGGTAAATCATATTGGCTTTTCTTATATCATGAAATCTTTAGAAATATATAAAACTTCTATATTGATATA